TTAGAAGTGATCTCTTTTCTCTGCACCCCTGAATTTTGTACCTACTTAATGGTTCTTACATATGTTGTTGGTTTGCATTTCACGATTACTTCATGTACAGAGATTCGATTATGAACTCTTTTAAGGCATGGGTTATAAATTATCCATTTTTGTCTCACTTCTCCACTATAGAACCTAACACAACTTCATATATGTATATACATAGCTTCATTGAGATACTAGAGGCCCGATGCACGAAATTCGTGCTAGGGGCTCTGCCCTTGCAGCCGCTGTGACTTGCCTTGGCCCTCGCAGCCCCGGCTTCATCCGGAAGGTCATTTGGCTGTCTGGTCTAATTAGCATATTATGCTTTAATTATTATAGATAAGTTACATATTCACCCATTTAAAGTATACAATTCAATGGTTTTAATAAATTAAGAGTTGTGCAGCCTTCACCACAATCAATTTTAGAGCACTTTTTGTGCTCTAAAAATACCTAAGGATATTTTTACATTGATTTTTAGAGAGAGTGGAAGGGAGGGGAGCGACACACAGAGAGAGAAACTTGAATGTGACAGACACACACTGATTGATTGCCTCCAGCTTGAGCCTTGAGCCTCGACTGGGGTGGGGATTAAATTTGCAACCTAAGTATGTGCCCTTCTGTCACAGGGCTGATGATCTAACCACTGAGAAACCGGCCAGGGCGTTAGAGCACTTTTATCAGCCCAAAAAAGAAACCTTACACACATAAGCAGTCAATCCCCATTTTCCCCCAAACTCTCAGCCCCAGGCAAACATCAATCTAATTTCTGTTCCTGTAGATTTACCTATTCTAGACATTTCATAGCAACAGAAACATAACATTTGTCCTTTTGGGTCTGGCTTATTTCATTTAGCTTATTTTCTAAGTTGATCCATGCTGCAGCATATAATGGTACTTTATTCCTTTTCATGGCTGAATATTATTCCATGCATGAGTGGACCACATTTTGTTTATCCATTCATCAGTTGATTAACATTTGGGTTTCTACTTTTCAGCTATTATGAATGCTATGAATATTCAAGTACAAGTTCTCATGTGGACATATGTTTTCATTTCTTGTGTATCTACCTAAGAGTGGAATAGCTGGGTCATGTGTTAACTCAATGTTTAACATTTTGAGAACTGTCAAGCTGTTTCTAATGGTGGCTGTACCATTTTACATTCCCACCAGCAATGCATGAGGGTTCCAGTTTCTCCACACAGGGGTCCTCAAACTTTTTAAACAGGGGGCCAGTTCACTGTCCCTCAGACAGTTGGAGGGCCGGACTATAGTTTTAAAAAAACTATGAACAAATTCCTATGCACACTGCACATATCTTAGTTTGAAGTAAAAAGACAAAATGGGAAAAAATACAATATTTGTATTTGCATGTGGCCCGCGGGCCGTAGTTTGAGGACCCCTGCTCCATACCCTCGCCAACACTTGTTATTCTGTCTTTTTTATTGTAGCCATCCTAGTGGATGTGAAGTAGCATTTCACTGTAGTTTTGATAAATATTAGATGTTTGATAAATATTTGTCAGATAAATTATATTTATATATAACATGAACAAACAGACCTTTCAACAAGTCATTTGACTTGCAAGTTTATTAACTAGCTAGAAAAGATTAGCACAGGGCCTAGAATGATTATAATTCAATTTGTAAGTATTTTTATATTGTTTTCTCTCTTTTTTTAGTTGCTAGTGTTATCTATGTGACATTATAAAGGTGGCGATTCATCATGAAAATTCATGTAGCTTTGTAGGTTTGAATGTATTTTACAGAATAAGCTAAATTCCAACCAGAATTCCAACTTTTGATATTGTGGCTACTCAGCCACCACCAATGAATGGGGAAACTAGGAAAGGCTAATTCCTGAATCCAAGACAGGGCAAATGAATAAAATAGCATTTCCCACATGGCCTTTCCTTTGCCTTCTCTTTGGAACACGTTACAACTTGGAAGCTCCAGACACCAATTCTGTGGTGACTGTGTGAACTATTACTCTTGTTTAAAGACTTGCCTCCTCCTGGGCAGGCCTGTCTTTAAAAAAGCATTTGATAGTACATTTGGGTACATGGGCTGGGGGTAGGGAGAGACGTAAGAAAAATGCAAGTGCTAAAACTTCTTTGGGTAGAGTTTTCCTCAGTAAACAGTAGACCATGGGAAACATAACAGGTTCTGAAAACTTAATTTTGATGAATCTGGACGTTAGAGAAACAGCCAGCTGAATCAGTTCCCTCTCGGGCAGTGGCTTAGCCTTCTTATCTCAAGTCAGAGGTAATGGTCCAACTACTTTTGCTTGGTTCTAGAGAGTTCTATCTTGGCCAAAACCCATCAATTTAGTCAAGGCCTGGACAGACACTTCTGCCTGTAGCTCTGAAAACTAAAGTTCCACTTAAGGTTGCAAATTAAAGGCACATGATTGGGCTTAAAACTTTGTATGGTGTGCAGGTGTCCTCAGAGGAGCTGCTGTGGTGGAGTCAGTAGTAAGTAGAGTAGTAGGCTTTCTGTATGTATAACACCATCTCGCCTAACTAGTCTCAAGTAATTCTACAGTAGTATTGTCTGCAACTAGTTAAGAGGCATATATTTTCCACCACCAGTTACCCGGTTATCTGTCTGAAGTTGTTTCCAAAGGCTGAGAACAGGCCCTTTCAGGACCTCGGTAGGAAAAGTATTAACAGTTGGAAACATGTCAGCTGCTTTATGGAGGAAGCACAGCCCAGGCCTGGTTTCTCTAGGCTCCGTGATAACTTGGGCTGCAGCAGCCAGGGCGAAGCTCGGTGGTGGGAACTGTAGAGATGGAGAGCGGCTCAGAGGAGGCCCCTGCTTTTCAGAGTTGAAACAGGAGCCCTCTGAGAGAAAGAGATATTGCATGTGGCTTCCCTGATGCCTCGGAGGGCGAAGTGGATGACACAGCATCAGCCGTTCCTTGGGGGGTGGGGACACGGTGGCCGCTAGAAGCCTCTGCCCTCATCGGCCCCTTGGGGGCCACAGCCATAGTTCAGCATCAGTTGTGGAGTGTGGTGAAGAAAAGGTGACAAAGGCCAGTCAGCGTTCAATTGGTTGGAAGGAGAACCGCTCCCGGATGGCAGCCCCAGAGCTAGAAGGACCGCACCCTGGGAGAGAAACGGCTTTTAGTCGGGGGCGGTGCAGCAACAGTTCCTAATCTCCTGCCTAATCAAATACTCGCTCCACCTGGATGCGGAGCGAGGATCCCGTGGAGAGAGAACCGCGCGGGTGGGACTCACCCTCTCATTTACCTCCAAGACCCAGAAGGACAGCGCCAGGTCAGGCACCTCGGCCCCCCCACGCCACCCCTGTGGCCTCCGAGGCGCCCCTCTCTTGCCTCTTGGGCACTGCTGCCTTTCCCCCCTCCTCTGTTAAAATAGTGAGAAGTAAAGAAAAAAAAAACGGAGTGAAGTGATGGAAAAGTG